TAAAAAGACAGTATAAGTCATTATAATCCGTAATTATGTCTCCACTGGATGCAACAAATGCCACGTTTATAATGGGTTTTAATGTTTTTGTCTCGTCGCTCCATCACAGTATGTAGGGGTGCAACGTTTCCGTCACACGCTTGAGGTATTCGGCCAATCACAACGCACTGGATAGCTGACCAATCAGAGCACACCTCGCTTTTCAGACCGATGAGCTTTGTAAAAATCGACGCGTTTCTGAAAGGCGGGGCATAGAGGAGAAACAATAATGTACAGTGTTTTAAAAAACAATGTTTTTTGAACCTTAAACCGCATAAACACATTTCATTACACCAAATACTCAAAATAATGTTCTTTTTAGCAACGTCATATGACCCCTTTAAAAAAAGCAGCTTTTACATTTAGTTACATTAGAGTTTTAAGGAGCTATTCTATAGTTATTTTAATTCTAATGTGTTTTAATTAATACATTTTATGTTTTATTTTATGGGGACATTCCATATTCCATGTGCATAATGGTTTTTATCCTGTACAAATTGTATTTTCTATCCTCTTTCCCTAACCTCTAAACCTACCTCTTATACAAAACTTTCTGCATTTTAAGATTTTACAAAACTGTAATTCTGTATTATTTATAAGCTTGTTTCCTTGTGGTGACCAAAATATTCCCCCTTGTGACCCCACAAGGTCAAAAATGTACTGGTATTATTATACTTGTGGAGACATTTGGTCCCCATAACATAGTAAACACCCCCGTAAGAACACACACAGCGGGTCAGTGCAGTTTGTTTTTTAGTCCATTGTGCAAAATGGTAATATTGTATATAACTGTAAACTGTTATGTACATATTACTGCTAATATAACTGTTAAATAAATGTTTTCTATTTTAAAATGTCATTTATTCCTGTGATAGCAAACTGAATTTTCAGCAGCCATTACTTCAGTTTTCAGTGTCTCACAATCCTTCAGAAATCATTCTAATATGCTGATTTGGTGCTGGAAAAATATGGTTTATTATTATAAGTGTTGAAACAGTTGTGTTGCTTATTATTTTTGTGAAAACTGTGGTACATATTTTTTTTCATGATTCTTTGATGAAAGTTCAAAAGAACAGTATTTATATAAAATTGTACGTTTGTTTCTAGTACTAAGTTTCCTATCACAAGAGCCAGAACAATCCAAGGATGAAAATTTAACAAGCCCTGATGCAGCAGATGTGAAAACAGAGACTGACCCTGATTGTTATTGATTAACCTATTTGAAAATGAGTCATTGTGGTTTTCTGCGTTTGTCCCTAGAGTGCAGATTCCTGTGCACTAACGGCAGATGTCTGAACCTGGGCTCGCAGGTCTGTGATCAGCTCAACCACTGTGGAGACAACAGTGATGAGGAGCACTGCCCCATCTCCACCCAGCATCCTGCATCTGCCATCTTCAGCTGTGAGTCCATCTCTTTAACATTGTTGCTCCAGACTCAGATCTGCCTGTGTTCTGGTTCTGATGAAGTCAGCAGGATGTTTTCTTGCTTCACATTGGTCAGTTCTCATCCGAATTCCTGAGGCGTTTGTATCCAAGCCACCTGCAGAGTGAGAGTGTGAGACGAGTGTTAAAGGGGTCATATGATGCGATTTCAAGTTTTCCTTTCTCTTTGGAGTGTTACAAGCGGTTCGTGAATAGATAAGATCCCTGAAGTTGCAAAGACTAAAGTCTCAAAACCAAAGAGATATTCTTTATCAAAGTTAAGACTCTGCCACACCCCCCTAAAACGGCTCGTTCTAACACGCCCCCAACATATCTAGGTCACTATGTGGGAATATTTGTGCACTCAAAGAAAGAAGGCGTGGTTTCAGTAACCGCGGTGTGTGTGTGTGTGTGTGAGTGGTTTGTGTGCAACATAGGATGTGGTCATATAGCTAAAATAGCTTGATATTTTTCAGCCTTTTTGATAGCATTTGACATTCATCTCTATGTATGGCTCAATGACATGACACACTCATTTTGTTATTTTCTTTTTTTCAAAAATAAATTAAAAATTCAATTTACTCATACAACAACTTGAATACCTCTTCTAAGATTAGCATATTTTTAAAATTTTAAATTAAATTTTGTTTTAATATTTTTGGGTGGGGGATAAAGTAACAAGTATCAGGGTGATACAACTGTCTTGATAGCATAAGACAAAAGCCTAAAGATTGGCATTATCTTTTACTATTAATTCTTTGAAAAATATATCAAAATTGTTCATTTGACCTTTTTTGACAAGACACTTTTAGTCCAGGTTGTAAAATGTCATGTGGTGTGACTCAATCATATGAAACCAACATAAATGCAAATTATACTTTTCTATAAACTTTTCAGGTGTTTTAAACTTGATTTTTAAAAGATTTTTCATTTGAGTTTTTAATGGTTACTCTTATGTCATTGACCCATATATTAGCTCTGTAATGATGCAAGTGTGTGACTTTCACGGTGAATATTCAATATTTTGTCCAGCCCCTGGCGTGAGACGGTGGCAGCCAGTAAGCTTTGATCTACCGTAGATCTTTTGTGTCTTCAAGTTTGAGGTAACCAGAGTAGGCAAAAAAAAGAGAAAAGTTAGAAAAGCACGTAGCTCCGTCTGCGTTTTTCTAGTCTCAGCCTCAGACGTCATGCCCACGGACTGTTGGCTGAACGTCTGATGCATATGGCACACAAAAGTGGAAATACTTCAGGAGTTTCGAAGTCGTCATCGGATTGGTTGAATTATACGGGATTTCCGGTAGACGTGTGTGTCGCGTTCTTTAACGTTCCACCTGGAAACAAAGATGCCGTGACGCCAAACCACCTTCAGGAAAGAAGAAAGCTGTCGTGTTTACAACTGTGGCGATGAGCACTTATCAGGATCAACTAAACGCTGGATTTTCAAAAGTATGTGAAATATTTTAAGTTTGCGGCATAAAATCTTTAAAATATGTCAGAGAGTTTTACACTTCAATTTTACACTACAATCAATTAATCACTATTACTACTATAATGTTATTGTTATTGGGTATCATATTATTACAAGTTTGAAAAAGGGCCAAAAAATGCTTACAGAAAGGTCTGTTATTGTGGCGACATTTTCACGCCCCAAAACGTGACGAAACAAACTGTGATTAGTTGTTTGACATGTCGGTCAAACAGCCTCATGGGTGGTCCTTGGCCAATGAAAGCTGCCATGGATTCCAGACCTTCAGCCGTCAGTCTGAAGGTCTGGCTACGCGAGACTAGTGTTTTTCTGTCCTGGCTGTGTTGAAATCAGTCATCTGTTCTTGCCGTGTCATGCTCCCCTGTGTTCCCTCTGCTCCGAGGGGTGTCTTCAGTCAGAGCTATTAGAGCAGTAATGCTCATTTCCCCAGCAGACAAACAGCCACCATATACTGCTAGAGGGAGAGAGGAATGATGCTGATAGACATTAGTGAAGACAAAATATGCTGAGAGCGAGACCGAATCTGAGGAAATGTTTAGAGTCTAATCGAGTTTGCCATCTCTCTGTCTACAGCAGGGCCAGACAGATTGATCATGAATGTAGTCTAGACACCCTGCACAAAATATTCCCCTCTCTCTATCTCTCTCTCCAGCTCTCTGCCTCCACACATTGAATGGTTGTGGTCAGGACTGTCAGCCTCTGCAGAGAATGAGGGAGTGAGAGAGGGTGTTTATTGAAGAGTATGATGAAAAGCTTTGCAGGGTTTAAGGGTGTGCGGCAATGATCTTCTTTGTCAGTGGTTTGCATTTATTGGCATCAGGTGTGTGGGAATCAGACTGCACAAATATCAGGGTAAAGCTTGTTGTCCATGAATTTGTCATTTTATTTCTTTTGTTTTAAGGTACACTTAGGTTAGGGAAAAAGTTTAAAGACAATTTTTCACGGTCTTTCCTACCGTTTAAAGTCCTACCGTTAACAGTCTATTTTTTCATGCTATGGCTTTAACACCAATAATAAATAACTTATAACTTCTAATAACAACAATGGCAGTAGTAGTAGTAGTTGTTGTTGTTGCTAGTGTTAATAATACTGTATTATTAGTAGTATTGGTTACACTTTATTTTAAGGTGTTCTTGTTACAGTGTAATTGCACATTTAAGTACGGAGTAATATTAATTAACTACATGTACTTACTATATGGTTAGGGTTAGGATTAGGGTTTGGCTTGGAGTTACTTGCATGTAATTATGGCATAATTTATTGTTATTATAATAGCAAGATATTATTACAAGTTTGAAAAAGGGCCAAAAAATGCTTACAGAAAGGTCTGTTATTGTGGCGACATTTTCACGCCCCAAAACGTGACGAAACAAACTGTGATTAGTTGTTTGACATGTCGGTCAAACAGCCTCATGGGTGGTCCTTGGCCAATGAAAGCTGCCATGGATTCCAGACCTTCAGCCGTCAGTCTGAAGGTCTGGCTACGCGAGACTAGTGTTTTTCTGTCCTGGCTGTGTTGAAATCAGTCATCTGTTCTTGCCGTGTCATGCTCCCCTGTGTTCCCTCTGCTCCGAGGGGTGTCTTCAGTCAGAGCTGTTAGAGCAGTAATGCTCATTTCCCCAGCAGACAAACAGCCACCATATACTGCTAGAGGGAGAGAGGAATGATGCTGATAGACATTAGTGAAGACAAAATATGCTGAGAGCGAGACCGAATCTGAGGAAATGTTTAGAGTCTAATCGAGTTTGCCATCTCTCTGTCTACAGCAGGGCCAGACAGATTGATCATGAATGTAGTCTAGACACCCTGCACAAAATATTCCCCTCTCTCTATCTCTCTCTCCAGCTCTCTGCCTCCACACATTGAATGGTTGTGGTCAGGACTGTCAGCCTCTGCAGAGAATGAGGGAGTGAGAGAGGGTGTTTATTGAAGAGTATGATGAAAAGCTTTGCAGGGTTTAAGGGTGTGCGGCAATGATCTTCTTTGTCAGTGGTTTGCATTTATTGGCATCAGGTGTGTGGGAATCAGACTGCACAAATATCAGGGTAAAGCTTGTTGTCCATGAATTTGTCATTTTATTTCTTTTGTTTTAAGGTACACTTAGGTTAGGGAAAAAGTTTAAAGACAATTTTTCACGGTCTTTCCTACCGTTTAAAGTCCTACCGTTAACAGTCTATTTTTTCATGCTATGGCTTTAACACCAATAATAAATAACTTATAACTTCTAATAACAACAATGGCAGTAGTAGTAGTAGTTGTTGTTGTTGCTAGTGTTAATAATACTGTATTATTAGTAGTATTGGTTACACTTTATTTTAAGGTGTTCTTGTTACAGTGTAATTGCACATTTAAGTACGGAGTAATATTAATTAACTACATGTACTTACTATATGGTTAGGGTTAGGATTAGGGTTTGGCTTGGAGTTACTTGCATGTAATTATGGCATAATTTATTGTTATTATAATAGCAAGTACATGTAATGTGTAACAAGGACACCTTAAAATAAAGTGTTACCGTATTATTAAACTGTGTTAATAGTGTAAAAAATGTACTTATCTGAAGTAAAAATGCTTATTTATAAACATGGTTATGTATATTTCTTTGACATTAAATTGAGTATTTGAACACTTTCCATTTTGTGAATAACTGTATGATCGTTTTAATTGTTAATTTAGTTGTAATTTGCTCATCAAATTATCAAATTAAGTAATAAGCCTTTTTTTGCAAATCAGCAGAATTTTTTTTCAAGATGCAGGACAATTCAATAATAACTGTTGTTTTTAATAGTAGTCATAGTAGTAATTGTTGTATTATAATAATAGCTGTTTATTATTATTATTAAAAACTAATAATTCACTATAAATCAATATAAATCAATAATTCACTATAATAAATCACTATTACTACTGTGATGTTATTGTTATTGGCTGTCATATTATTAAAAGTTTGAAAAGGGGCCAAAAAATGCTTACTGAAAGGACAGATTTAGTAAATAATATTAATGAGATGGTTTTCATTTTTGAGTCAAATTTTCTGGGGAATCTGCTGAAGTACTCAGTAATTTTCTTTAAGATGAGAGACAGAGAAATGGGATTTTTGGTAGATGCAGTGTGAAAGAGATGTTGTGCCAGTTCCTTCAGGTCACAGATCAGCCGTTTTCTGCCTGTATTTGCAGGAATCACACTAAGAGTGATTCTGATTAAACATGACAGATTTCCACACCTTACCGCCACAGAAGAAACCACACTGAGGATCATCTTACCTTACATACACTCTAGCTTTTACTGCGATGAGCACAGTTACCACAAAACCGATCACGTTTGCCCTTTCCCGGCATCGAATCCAAGCACACAACTTGGCTTGCAGAACTTTGCTGTAAAAACCAACAACAAACTTTCTCAGACATAAAACTACAAACGTTTATTCACTCTGCATAAAAGCTCGGGGTACTCTCTGTCCGCTTTGAAAGCGGCACGGTAGCGGCACGCTTTG